CAAAGAAACAAAAATGTAACAGTGTTAGTGGTAGAACGGTAGAACCAAGGCCCACTACATATATTTCCTGATTTCCTGTTCATTGCCCTTATTACTACAGTATGTCTATTTACTATTTGTCTAAACTATTATGCAGAGTGGTCTGGAAGCAGAAATCCTGATTTTAGTAATTTAATCCTTAAAATAATACCAGATTGTTAACTTTTTGCTCTAGGTTTTTGGACAAATTATTTTCTTAGGAGTGTGGAAGGACAATAGATTTTTTTTTCTTTGCTACTTTACTAGCTTCAACCTTGGGTGATTTATTCAACGGCCTTACCTAATGTGCTTATATGTTAAATGAGGATAAGGTTACTTGCCTAAGAAGGTGGCTATGAGGATTAAGCTAGGTGACCTCTGTAAAGCCCTTTCCTCTGTGCTTGGAGTTAAAAATTGAGTAAACATGAGAGGTGTGTATCTGCAGCTCAGCAGTGGAGCACTTACCTAGGGTGTGTCAGGCCACATGTGCCTCCCAAGCGCTGCCACCTCCTTTGCCTCTAGAATGCTTAGCACATTGTATTACAGTTTCTTTAAGGTGGGATTCTTGGAGATATTCCCTTCAGTAATATTTTCAGTTTTATATAACAAGGGATATCTTTTGTGAAGATGATTCATAAAACCAAAGAAACCAATAAAGCTGTTCCGGCTATTTGCTACTAAAACAGACTTAGAGGAAAAATTAAAACAGACCTAGGGTACTGCTGTAGTAGATTGTGCTGTCATCTGCCAGAGGAATTGAGCAACTGTTGTTCATTTTTATACTGCTAATTCTATAATAAGCTGACTTTATTAGTGTTGACACCTAATTCTGACCTTAAATTTTCTTTATTCTACTCCTGCAAGGAAAGTATGTTGACTGTCACTTGGCTCTTTTCTGTTTTTGACTGTTCCTGTGCTTGCCTTGCAGAGCTCTGAGGAGCACGAGTGCAACGATGACACTTCTCAGGAGGATGAGGGCTTTATGGGCATGTCCCCCCTCTTACAGGCCCATCATGCTATGGAAAGAATGGAAGAGTTTGTTTGTAAGGTAAGATTCAAGTGTTTTGTTTTGTTCTTTTTAGCATTTCCATGTTTCATCTATTTAGTCCTTCTCTAACCAAAACTTTTTTTTTTAAATGTATTTATTTGGTTGTTACAGGGTTTCACTATGCAGCTCAGACTCATAGTGATCCTCCTGTTTTCAGCTGCCCCAGCGCTGGGATTACAGGCCTGTGCCCAGACTCTGTGGCCTTCTCAGCCTGACCTTGGGTGGGGCTGGCACAGCATGTGGTACCAGGGATTGAACTGTGGTCCTTGTGCTTGCCTAAGCAGGCACTTTACTCTGCTGAGCTATCTCGCTGGCCTCTCCAACAGAAACTGTTACAGAGAATAGTGCTGCTTTGGGCTCTGGTTTGCTTTGGGAAAATTAGGATGAGGACAGAAGTAGTCTTATGACTTCAACCTGTTCAGGGTACAGTACATTTTGTGCTTATAGCAGGGTTGATAAAATTCTGATAAACTTAGAATATCTGTTGGGATAAGAAGGAGTTAAAATAGAGATGTGGAAAATGACCTGCAGGGCGTGTGGGAGGAAGGATAGAAAAACAGAATTGCAACAGGAGAGTAATCAGGAACACCTAAAACTCCTCAAGGTCATCCTGTTTTTGTGTCCTTGCTACCAGATGCCTAACAGGTTCTCACAATCTTAGGCACACAGGATAAGGGCTTGTTTTGTAAGCTGCAAGTAAAGGTGAGACTCAATATACATAGAAAAATAAAGACCAAAGGTGGCATGGCAGCCTTTTGCTCTAGCCCTTGCTTTGCTTTGCTTGCATGCGGTTTCTATATGTCTTTGTTTGTGGCCAGTGCCTGTGAGTCTTTCCCAGCAAATACCCAATTGGGAAACAAACTTTTCCCGATGCAGGTTAATAGGATCAATGTCTTGTTCATTAGACAAGGCACAATGAAATGTAATTGGGAGTGTCTGATAAGGGAGATACTAAAATGTCCCTAGCTGGGAATGGTAGAACATAGTTGTTACTTAGGGGGTTGAGGGAGGATTGAAAGTTTTAGCCCACTCTGGGCAACTTAACAAGACTACCTCAAAATTTAAAAATATAAGTAGAAAAGGCTAGGGATGTAGCTTAGTGGTTGAATGCCTCTGGGCTTAATCCCCAGTACCGTGTGTGTGTGTGTGTGTGTGTGTGTGTGTGTGTGTGTGTATGTGTGTGTTGGGGAAGGGAACAGGGGAATGGCAAGAGCCACCCGCTAGTCTCCCTGATAAATTTTGCTGTTGGATTTGAATGGTAAATGTTCTAGTCAAACTACTCTTGAGATAGAAATTTCCAAATTTTCATGCACACCTAGTGTTTTCACTTCAGTTGATGTATTTTCTGTCTCAAGATTTCTCTTTCATTTTCAGATTTCCTGGAATTTATTGTAGAATTTCATTTTCTAAAGTGATAACTAGAGTTGCTCACTTGCTTAGAGAAAATAGGGACACTGGTAAATTTATAAGAACTTGATTATCAGAATAGTAAGAGTTTTGGTAGCTAAGGTCTTAATGTGTTTTTTTTTTTTTCATGTGTATCAGTTAATTTATTTAAAATTTATGGAGAATACTTGATTTTTCGAAAATGTTACGACAAATAGATTTTTAAGTGTTTTATGAAACCCAATCTTTTTGTGACTGTACCTTTTGATCCTGAAAACTAAATTTATAGATTTTCCTTCATTCACAAAATGCTAGAAATAACTGAGGCCAGCTAACTTTGTATATTATACATTAGACCAGGGATGAAAAGATCACGATTTGAAAATAGGTACCTCTTCTAAGACTAAGGAGCAGTGTGAGTGGTATAAGGAAGAAAGTATAAACATTTATAGGGTCAGGATAGTTTTTAGCCTAAGAGATCTTAAATTAGTGTTTGAAAATTGGTGATAGAAAAGCCAGCCAGCTGGGTATGAAGGTGCATACCTATAATCCCAGCACTTGGAAGACAGGAGGATTGTTGCAAATTTGAGGCCAGCCTGGGCTGTATAGAATTCAAGGCAGGATTGTACTGCATAGCAAGACCCTGTCTCAAACAGAAACAAAACCAGAATACACCCAGACAAACAATAGATTCATTTTAGTGATCCCTGTCTTAGGAGAATTAGCCGATACGTAAGAGATGACAGTCATACCTTTTAAGAAACCCATTGGTTAGTCCTGGTTGTTTGGCTACCTGTTGAGCAAGCTGGAACTTTGTGTCTGTTGTCTTGTCTAGCCAGAACACTTTGTTTGTTATTCTTGTGTGATGCTTGTTGTGCTTCTAGAATCAATTAATGATGAATTCCAAGATATCACACTGCCTTTGATTTTTAGAAACAAATTTAGTGTGAAGAAGTCTCTTAAAGTTGTATATTTAATGTCTGTGGACTATTACGGAAATTTAATATTCATAGATTAATGGGATAGTATAGCTGTGCTCCAACTACTTTTTCATTCTCTCTGAACTGAGAGCTCAAAATAAAGCACATAAAACTTTAAATTTAACAGCTAGTGGGAGAACAGATAGGGTGAGCATTTGTGTGCTGCACAGTATCATTTACTGCAGAAAAGTGCCCTGTCAGCCTGTCTGAGAGCAGAATGGAGAGGCATCATGTTGCACAGTGTCTGTAGGGTTGCTCCACCTTGCCGTGGCCTTGCTTTAAAATTGGCCATGTTTACTGACACCATGATTTGGTTTCTTGGATTGGAAGCCAATAATGTTTATTTATTTATTTTGTTTGTTTGTTTATTGATTGATTGATTGATTGATTGATTGGAAACAGGGTCTCACTATGCAGTTCAGACTCATAGTAATCCTCCTGTCTCAGCTTCCCTAGCTCTGGGATTATAGTTAGGCGCCACCACATCCATTTTTGGGGTCAGCATGGTAAGGTTCCAGAGCTTGCCATTTCATGCAGCACTGGGCTTGAACTCAGGTCTTTGTGCCTGCCAGGCAGGCAGTTAGACCACTGAGCTATCTCCCCAGCTCCAAACAAACAGTTTAAAATGTGGTGTGCCATGGATGTGTGGTTGTACCTTCTCTTTTGGAAAAGCTTTTCTTATAGGAAGAGGGGCAATAAAATAACAGGTGAATCCTTTAGAGTTTTCAATTTTATCTTAGTCCTTTTTTTTAATGAATTTAGGACAGGGTATACAGGGTGTACAGGGTCTCACTATATAGATGGGACTCGTAATGATTCTCCTGTTTTCAGCCTCCCAAGTGCTGGAATTCCAGGCGTGTGCCACCACACCCAATCTCAGTCTGCCTCAGCATGCCCCGGGGGGCGGGGCTAGCACCAGCACCACAGGTTGGGGATTGAACCCTGGTCCCTGTGTTTGTCTAAGCAGGCCCTTTAGTCCACTGTGCTATCTGGCTGCCCCTTTGATTTTAGTTTTTCTTCACACTTTGGTTTTACCAGCATAGTCAGGCCTATATGGAAATAAGGTTGATAGAGAACAAGTTTGGTGCGTGTGTGTGTGCGCGCGCGCGCGTGTGTGTGTGTGTGTGTGCATGTATACATTCAAGAGTCTAGCTAAATATAGTAGACCACTGCTCACATGTTTGATTTAGGCAGTATTTCAAACTTAATTATAAATAAGTCTGAGCTGTGACCCTAATTTATTCCCTCTAGCAGGTAAGAGGATCCGATGTGTGTTGGCATTTGGCTGATAGCATCTGATTCTCAACTTGAGAGTGCGAGTACAATCTTTGCTGAATATGAAGTATAATTTGAAAATCGAAGTGTAACTAGTAAAGTAAAACTCCTTGGCCAAGTATTTAGATCACTAGAACATTAGAAACAATGGGGAAAATCACACTGACATTCAATGCATATATGACTAGTAAGAAACTCTCAATCTGTTCTTTTTGGCTATGAGAAAGGAGCATTTGACTGTTGATGTGTAGCAAAAAGTGTTTCTGATGCATTCACAGCAGAGCAGTTGTATATGATAAGCTGTCTTTAAATGCAAGGATCAAATTTTTTATTCCTCTTCCTAGTAGAAGTACAATCCTTAGAAGGTTCATCTCAGCAATTATGTGATTTTTTTCAAGTTCAAATTAAATATACAAACTGAAGAGTCACACAACGACTTTTTTTTTTTTTTTACACAACTACTTTTATAAGTGGTAGTGTGGTGCAGTTGGGTCTGTATCCGTGGGTTTCATATCTTTAGATTCAAACAAGTACTTGGGAGGCCATGTGCTGACTTGTGCCTGTAGTCCCAGCAGCCCTGGAGGCTGAGATAGGAGGATCACTTGAGCACATGAATTCAAGACTAACCTGGGAAAAAATCTAAATATGTAAAGACTTTCCCTTGTCATTATTTTCATTTCCAAAGCCATACAGTATAACAACTGTTTACACAGCATTTATGTTGTATCAGGTATTATATGTAACCTAGAATTAATTTGAAGAAGAGTGAGTATAGGTTATATGTGAATACTGTGCTGTTTTATGTAAAGACTGGGACATCTACCAAGTTTGGTATTTGTAGAGGATCTTGGAACTATCCATGTGGACCTGTGGCATGAGTGAAGTTTTAGCAGTAGACATTAATGCCCTAGGCTAGTCTTTTGGCATTATTTTAGTGTGTGCTAGAAACATACATGAATTGGCCAGGTGAGCACCAGTTTTGAGGCTCCCAGGTTTGAGTTGGTAGATGAGGGAGTGGGAGAGATAGTTAAAAGGGCCCCATCTATTTTTAATTGGTAGACTTTCCTTTGGAGATACACGAGGTGTTACAGAGAGGATCAGTTCTTTTACAAATGTCATCAAGGAGGCAGAAGGGCAGAGAACAGAAAGGATGTAGGGCGAAAAGAATGTAGAGTAGCTGGCACATAAATGGCAGTCGTTCTGCATTGTAGAGATACCTGGGGAATTGGAATGCAAGTCGTCTATCTGCCCTGATGATTTGTAGTAGAGATTCTTGCTTACAGAGTAATAGACTGGAAGCACTGTTGAACCAACATTAACTGGGAGGTAGGCCATGTGCCTGGCATTTTCCTTCTAGCAGAGGCAAATCAGTTTTAAATTGTCATTATGATGTCAGCCTTCTGTGCTGAGAGACATTAAAAGAAACAGGAAAGAGGTAGACAGACAGACACAGGAAGAAATACCAAACCCTTGACTTTTCTTATAGAAGTCATTGGGGAGGTACACTGGGAGAAAAGAAGGAAAGGGGCTGAGGGACTAGAAGGGCTGTTGAGATGAAGTTGCTTTGCTGTCTATCTAGAAAAGGAAGAAAGGGCGGGAGTGTCACTAATATACATTTATTTCATTTTATTTTTTTTATAGGTTTTTTGAAACAGGGTCTCACTGTGTTGTTCAGGTTGGCTTCAGACTCCTTGTGTAGCTCAGGCTGGCCTTGAACTCATGGCAATCCGTGGAGGACCATGTGGGTGACTCTTCTTGAAACAGGCTGTCTTCTCCATTTTGGCCGAGCCTGACCCTGTTCCCATATATTGACACGTCCAGAGCTGGCTAGGACTTTTTCCTTTCATCTACTTCCTACCATTCTCACAGTCCATTTGTCTTCAAACTACTCCTTTCTTCATAAATGAATAAAACCTTCAGTTGGCTTTAAGCAATGCATATTGGTCCAGCTGAGGTGTTTCCTTGGAACCCCCACCCACTGCTCCCTTCCTGTGTGAGCTGGGTGAAGGGATGAAGCGCCAAGGCTCCACACTGTCAGCTGGGATGAGCCTTTGAGATAGAGGCTGTGACTTCTTGGGGCTTGAAAGATTGCACATTAGAGCTGAAGCACGACCTCAAAACATTAGATACTATCTCACTTGTGTAATGCAGATTACTCTTTCTACAGAGCCTCCTCTCTGCATATTACAGAGGTGATTTCAGGCCTCTTACCCCACCCAGCTCTCAGCACTCACCTACTTCCTGCTGTTCTCACAGTTACTCATCCTCAAGCCACTCCTTTCTTCATGAATGAGTAAAACCTGTGTTCAGCCTTAGGTTAGAAGCCTTTGTTCTGGATAGCCACCATCATGGCTGGATTTAGGACCCTTGATTCCCTACAGATATGCCTTAGTGCCTTTATTCTTGACATGGGTTGAACTGGAAGTGATCATTTGGAATTAACTCACTAGAATTCCAGTAACTTTTCATGATATTACAAATATAAACTTTCTGCGCTGCTATGAGGAGGACCAGGAAGGGCTCTCTATAGTAATCCTCCTGCCTCAGCATTCCAAATGCTGGGATTATAAGTGTGCACTATCATGCATAGCTTCTGTCAGTAACTTTTAGATAGAAGGTAGCGTGTGGGGACAGTGAAGATCATGCACCTCCTTTGGGGTGGATCCTAGGGATTAACTTATTTATAGAGTTCTCATGCCATTTTATTTGATCCTTGAAACTTCTTTATTAAACAAAGCACTATCATTTTCATTTTATAAATGAAACTGAGGCTTAGACATTTATAACTGATTAAAGCTCATGCAACTTGATGTCAGAAACCCCAAAATTTTCTGATCTCTGTCTTTTCTGCTTCATATTTGCTGTGTTGCAAAGAGAAGAGAGTTAAGGGGGAGGGAGAGAGTTTGGTTAAGGGCATAAGAGTGTGATTCCACATAGGTCTTTGCTTATCAACATGAGTATTAAATATAAAAATAGTGATTTTTAATAACATAGATTTCTGTTGTGGAAAGATCTAGGAGGTTCTATATGGGTGGGGCTTTGAATCTTTCTCTGTTCTTTTTGGTCATACTAGACAAAGCTCTTTTAAGGAATATTCTGCAAAATTGTTTGCTCTTTCCTTTTCCTGAGAAGAATCCCCATTTTAAAGATATGTTTTTATCAGTCTGGTTTTTGAGAACTTAAAATAGGACATTATACATTTTGAAGATACTTACTTTTTAACATTTAATTTTCCCATAATAAAACAGTGTGGTTAGAGAGAGTTGTTTGCAGACAGTGAACACACAGTGAGCAACTGAAATCACAAAGATGTTCAATAACGCCCATCTTCCAGGTATGGGAAGGTCGATGGCGAGTGATCCCTCATGATGTGCTACCGGACTGGCTCAAGGATAATGACTTCCTTTTACATGGACACCGGCCACCTATGCCTTCTTTCCGGGCCTGCTTTAAGAGCATTTTCAGAATACACACTGAAACAGGCAACATCTGGACACATCTCTTAGGTATGCAATATTAGTGGTATAATGAAGTGGTGATCCACTTTATTATTTATTTTTCTTATTTTTTAAGACAAGGTCTTACTTTGTAGCTCAGGCTGGCCTCTAACTCATGGCAGTCCTGAGTGCTGGGATTATAGGTGTGTGCTGACTTTATTTTCATTTGAGGATAAAGACAGACTTGAAAAGTGCCTTGGGATTTAAGTCCCTCCCCCTTTAAATTTCTAATGATGAATTTTTCACTTATTTATTCTTTTGCTTATTCTAGTTTATACTATGATTTTTTTTTTCATAGTCAAATTTTTCTTTTCCTAGAGTGAAAAATTGTGTCTTCAAATCATGCAAAGAAAAAATTATTATACAAAATTTGGTAGGATATTGTAACCACTGAGAGGAAGGTATTATTTAATATAAGTGAGCTGGTTTTTCTCAGAGTCTTTACTTAGAATATTCACAGTTACATTTCATGTTGACTTGAAATAGAATATGAAATTAATATTTTCAGCTCATGATGTTTTTTCTTGTTTTTTTGAGATAGGATCTTGCTATGCAGTTCAGGCTGGCCTTGAACTCACTCTGTACTGCAGGTTGGCCTTAAACTTTGGTTTTCCTGCCTCAGCCTCTAGGGTCTTGGCATTACAGGCATGTGCCGCCACATCCAGCCGTGACTATATACTAAAGAAAAGAAAGTACAATAGGGGCAAAGAGTAGTCTTTTCAATAAATGTTCCTGGGATAGTTGAGTATCGATGTGTAGAAGAATGAAGTTGGATTCCAGCCTGGTACCATATACAAAATTTAGCAATGTGTACAAAATTTAGCAATGTGCTAAAACGGTGAAACTCTTTAGGAGAAAGTATAGATATAACTCTTGGTTTGGATTAAGCAAGTTTCTTAGAATTGATACCTAAATCACAAGCAATCAGAGAAAAAGTAGATAAATTGAACTTCATCAAAATTAAAAACTTAACCTTAAAAAAGTTTAAAAAGCATGTATGTCAAAGAACATTGTCATGAAAATGAAAAGACAACCCATGTAGTGGAAGGGAATATTTGCAAGTTATTTTCTCAATAAGAGTCTAGTAAAGAGCTTACAACTAAGCATAAAAATAGCCCAGAAGTTGTACAACTTCTCAGTAGACATTTCTTCAGAGATAACAAGTGACTAGTAAACATACATGTTTATTGTCATTTAAGGAAATACAAATCAAGTGCTCTGAGAAATGCAGGGAGATACTACTTCACTCTTGCCAGGCTGGCTCTTATCATGAAAAACGAAAATAAGTTTTGGTGTGAATGAAGAGAATTTAGAACTTTTGTACATTGCCAGTAGGGCTGTAATATGGGGCCACTTCTATGGAAAACAGTTGGACAATTCCCCAAAATGTTCAGCAGAGTTATCATTTATCAATTCAAAAAATCATGTTCACATAAAAACATGTTTGTAAGTACTTATTAGGAACATTATTCAGAATAACAAAAAAGTGGGAACAAGCCAGGTGTCTACCAGTGGATGAAGGAATTAAACTACGGCACAGCCATATGATGACCATAAAAAGGGATGAAGTACTGATAGATATTATTACATGAGTCAACCCTGAAAACATTAGCTAAGTGAAAGAAACCAGCTACAGCAGGCTACATGATTGTGTAATTCTACATATGTGAAACATCCAAAATAGACAAATCCATATAGACCAAGTAGATGAATGGGTCTAGGGCTAGGGGGAACAGAGTAGCATGTAACAGTAGGTACTGGACTTGTGTTTGAGAGCATGGTAATGTTTTGGAATTAGATAGTAGTAATAGTTGTGTAAACTTGAGAATGTATTAAGTAGTTTCTAGCCTTACTCCATTTCATTTTTGTTTTTTTTTTAAGCAGGCCCAATTCTTGCCTGCTAGTTGTAGTGAGGATAGAAGACAATCAGATGAAGTTCGTTGTTTAAATCAAGAATAGCTTTTTAAAACAATTATTTAGCAAGCATTTAACTTCTAAACTGTCTGTGTCAAATGATACTTCCTAAGCAGGGAGAGCTTGGCGTCTCATGTGCCTTGAATAGGTACCTTACATTCCTCATTCTTGATCTGTTGGGCCACTGATGAGACCAGAGAAGCAGTAGGATGTTCCTTGACAGCAGTTGGTTGAGGAAAACTGTATTTCCTGTCAGGGTTCTAGAAGTGTTGGAATTCATTATAAGAATAAAAGCAAAAGCAAACTTGACCTTTGAAAGTAGCATCTATGTGAGAAACTTCGTGAATGAAGTTTTGTGCTGGATCTAAGAGGCAGCAGCACTGTCCATTTTCATTTTGGATTATGAACCCAGATGAGTAACTTACATTCTGTATGCTCAGTTTGGAAAGCTGACGTCTGTATCATTACCAACAATATTTGAAATAAACTAAAATTTTGAATAAGCCTAAGTTATTTGGAAAAATTTTTGTCATGGAACTTTATTTTCATGGCATGTTCACTTTATTTCTTTTTATTAGTACATGTTTGCTGTACATAATCATCACATTAATCGTGAGGATTTGAACCTGTATATAATATAACTTAGTTCTTTTTCTTCCCCCATGGAACTTTTGATTCAGGTTTCATCAGTGCTGTAAGATTGAAAAAATAGTCAATATATAATTATGTCTTCAAAAGGATATTTGTCTCCTGAATTCTTTTCCTAGGTTGTGTATTCTTCCTGTGCCTGGGGATCTTTTATATGTTCCGCCCAAATATTTCCTTTGTGGCCCCTCTGCAAGAGAAGGTGGTCTTTGGATTATTTTTCTTGGGAGCCATTCTCTGCCTTTCCTTTTCATGGCTCTTCCACACAGTCTACTGCCACTCAGAAGGAGTCTCCCGGCTCTTCTCCAAGTAAGTATCTGTATTGTCCATACTTTGGTCAGTGAGTTAGAGCTAGTGGTTTAGGGGAGAATACCCAGAAGAATCGGCATTGTTTGATGCCGTTGGCTGGGAACTTTTTTTTTTAAATTAAAGCAAACTGCCTGGTTTGCCTTTCAGCCAGCCATTGTTAACTAAGGTCATGGGAGATTAATGAATAAAGCAGTAATATTATTATTGGACTTTTTCTTTTTTTAAATCCTAGACTGGATTACTCTGGTATTGCTCTTCTGATTATGGGAAGTTTTGTTCCTTGGCTCTATTATTCCTTCTACTGTAATCCACAACCCTGCTTCATTTACTTGATTGTCATCTGTGTGCTGGGCATTGCGGCCATTATAGTCTCCCAGTGGGACATGTTTGCCACCCCTCAGTATCGAGGAGTGAGAGCAGGTAAGTGCACGTGGAGCTTTCCTTTCCTTTCCTTTCCTTTCCTTTCCTTTCCTTTCCTTTCCTTTCCTTTCCTTTCCTTTCCTTTCCTTTCCTTTCTCTCTCTTTTCTCTCTCTCTCTCTCTCTGTTTAGTACAGGGTCTACAGGGTCTCACTGCACAGATTGAAATTGTGATCCTCCTATTTTCAGCCTCCCAAGCAGTGGGATTATAGGCATGTACCACCATGTCCAGTCTCCATCCCCATCTCAGTGCGCCTCGAGGGTGGGGCCAGCGCTGCATGCTGGGGACCAAACCCTGGTCCATGTGCCTGCCTAAGCAGGTGCTTTAATCTGCTGAGCTGTCTGGATGGCCCAGAGCTCTGCGTTGGACTTTTCTCTTATTCACTGTTTATGAAGCATCTACCATTTGGCAAGTATTATGCTGTTTGTGATGTGAAGGCGAGTGAGCTGTAGTTCCTGCTGCTGAGGAGCTCTTAGCGTGGCAGTCACAGCAGAGGAGCAGTTGAGCTTACCGGTCATCTGAGAGTGGGTGGTTGGGCCAGGGGTGGAGTGATGAGGGCATGGGTTCACGTTGGTTCGTGGCAGTGTTTATTTTGGGCTGTGCACTGTCCCTAAGGTGGCAGCTTTGCAGCTGTTATAAAGAAATGACTTCACTTATATTTTTTTTTAACTTAGCCTGTGTTTTATAGAGATCAGTTCTTTATGTACTTATTTTTTTAAATAAATATTTTAAAAATACTTTTAAGCTATTTAGGTTAAGCCTTCCCCCCATACTAATTGTGTTCTATTAAAGTGCAGTACTCACTATATATCTTTTTATTTAGGGGTAAAGGCTTTTTTAAAAAAAATTGGGATATTTAGGCTATCTTAAGGGAAGCTGGGAACCGCTTAGCACATTGGTTGAGGCTTCTTGAAATGTGGAGTCAGCAAAGATGTTTTTGTCTTGAACTAGACGGTGATTCTTCATAGCCGGTGCTGTTTTCAGTTTGCTGTTGCCAGTGTAAGGCCCAGTGCCTCTTGGGATCAAATAACAATATTATAATTAGGGCTTTCCTTTTGACCTTAAAAGTAGTAACATTCAAGTTCTGGCTCATCTGCGGTTACTAAATGCTAGAAGTAATCTCATATTAATGTCCACTTTTGTAACGTTCTGCCCTCTTCCCCTGTTTTGAGTGCTCATGTGAGCAGATAAACAGTGGGGAGGGTTGGCTGTTGGTAGTCCTTCAGTAATTCTGTGGCTTAAGCCTGCTTGAGCAGCTGGGATAAGAATGTCTTTGCTGAGGAGAGCTGAATGTTGTTATTTATATACACCAGAAGAATCAACCAAGTTCCTGTGCCTTCCACTTAGAGGATGAAAGACAAGACCTTTGCTTAGTCTGTAGAGAGGAGTTGAGTCGGGTAAAGGTTTTAGTTAGACCTGTTTGGTTCTTGTCTTCTGAGTTCGGCATTGTTACTTTCCTCCTCTCTTCTAAATGCTCATTTTGAGTATGTATCCTGTGCCTGTGCCTGTGCCTGTGCCTGTGTATATTGCTGCATATTGCAACTTGTTTGGTAACACACAGAGCAAGCAATAGGCTCCTGGTCTATTGGGGAAAGCTTACGGGGGACAGTTTGTGTTATAAGGCTCATTCTTACTCTGCTTGTCAAAATGTAGGAGCACTTGCAACTGAAACAAATTATTGCTTGGGTTGGCACATTAAAACATTAGATCTTTGGACTTCAAACTTTGTGATCATGACATTTTTCTTTTGGATCTCTAAATGTGTATGTAAGCTCATGCACATATAAATGACAACTTTTAAAAAAAATTACCATTCACTTAAGTTTTATTTTATTATAGTTCTTCACTTTAGTTGATCTTAGAACCTAGGTCTGTGGTGTTGAACCTACGGCACATGTGCCACAATGGGCTGTTTGTGTCACTGAAAGCGCTAAAAGGTTTGAAGGTTCACCATCACTGACCTAGGTCATACCCAGAAAATTGGCTCTTTTTTTTTTTTTTTTTGGCAGAACTGGGGATTGAACTCAGATCCTTGCGCTTACCGGGGAAGCGCTTATTTCACTGAGCCATCTCCCTGGCCCCAGAAAATTGGAAAATATTGCTTCAGATAATCTTGAAGGCAGTTGGCTGTTCTAGCTGATGCTGACCTCCCTGGGGAACCCAAGGCCTAGTATGTGCTAACTCATACTCTACCACGAGCAGTATCCCTCTCCATTTCTATAGGTTCTCTGATTGATTGCTGGGAAGCCTAGGAGCTTCCAGAAGCACATGCTTTATTTAGTGACCGTTTATTTAAGTGACAAGTTAGGCCATTTTTTCAGTGTTTAAAAGTTTTCAGTGCCCACTTTTAAGTCATAAATTTAGATTACAACACTATGAGAAATACTTCAGCTTTTTTTGTACTGCTTGCTTGCCCTATTTATTATTTATTGCTTTCTCCATCCCAATAATTTTTATTGCTTTAAAGAAAAAAAAATACTAAGTTTTCTCTGTTTTGTAATCAGTATAAAAGGTAGCTTTTAGGGAAGTTTGAACACTCTCTCTCTCTCTCTCTCTCTCTTTCTTTTTTGCGAAACCGGGGATTGAACTCAGGCCCTCGCACTTGCCAGGAAAGCGCTTATTCCACTGAGCCATCTCCCTGCCCCCAGAACACACTCTCAGAGTTGTCCTTGTAAACATTATTCTAAACCAGTGATGGTAGGTCTGGGAGATGGCCCAATAGAATAAGCACTTCCCTGGCAAGTGCAAGGGCCTGAGTTCAATACCTGGTTCCACCTCCTCACCAAAAAAAAAAAAAAAAAAAAAGAAAGAAAGAAAGAAAGAAAGAAAGAAAGAGAGGAAGTCTCAGTTTTTAGGGACCAGGGACATGGCTCAGTGGAATGCTTTCTTGGCAAGCACAAGGACCTGAGTTCAATCCCTGGTTCCACAAAAAAAAAAAAAAAAAAAAAAAGTTCCTAAACCAGTGATGGTGAGCCTATGGCATGCATGCCACAGCAGAATGTTTGTATCATTGAAAACTCTGGCCCCGCCCCGGGGGCATGCTGAGAGGGTGATTGAAACTGGGTGTGGTGGCGCATGCCTGTAATCCCAGCACTTGGGAGGCTGTAAACAGGAGGATCACAAGTCAGATCTACGCAGTGAGACCCTGTAGATCCTGCCCTAAATACAAAACAAACAATAAAAAACTCTGAAAGGTTCCACAGTACTGTACCCTTAGTTTCTTGCATTTATAAAAAGATCTTTAGAATATTAGCTGTTTGTGTAACGTAAGTGTCTCAGAGTTTGAAGAACCTTTTCTTTTTGAAACAAAAAGCTAATGTTGTTGCATCATACTTTGGAATTTTCCATTTACAGAATTAATGGTGCTGCCGTGTAACACTGATTTCTTCCTTCTGTGTTTTTGTTTTTCTCCTCATAATGTCTAGGAGTATTTGTGGGCTTGGGCCTGAGTGGAATCATCCCCACCTTGCACTATGTCATTGCGGAGGGCTTCCTGAAGGCTGCCACCATAGGGCAGATTGGCTGGCTGATGCTCATGGCCAGCCTCTATATCACTGGAGCTGCCCTCTATGCTGCCCGGATCCCTGAGCGCTTCTTTCCTGGCAAATGTGACATCTGGGTAAGTGTGGTCAGGGCTGAATAAACATGTATGCCAGTCTGTTAGTGGATTTTGGGCAGACTGGAATGTGAGGTTATCAGAAGTTGCAGACTCCAAATTGAGAGGCTTGTATTGTAGACCTAACTCTGTCCTTCAGTAGCTGTGTTTTTCTTTGCACAGTGAGCACACTGATAACTCATATTTATTGCACGCTTGGTGCCCAGCATATGGACTGCCTCATTATTAATTCAGTAATTCTGTTATTCTGACTCACTAATATTTCATTTTGTATATAAGGAAAGTAAAACTTAGTGAGATTTTGCAGCTTGTCTTCAGCCCATGACCATCCACCTCGTAACAGTTTATCCCAGGCGGTGCTCAGGCAGTGTGTTTATTTCCCTGCTGACTGTCCTGAGTGTTGCTTGGTAATTGTCATTTTAGTCAATTCTTTTTGTGTG